TGTGCGAATTGCGAGCGATGCGCCAAACTTTCAATCTGAATTTGGCGTCGCACCACATTTTTCAATTCAAGTATGCCATGACATGAACAAATGTAATCAACAACGTAATCACAATCAACAAGGTTAAACAACACCCAGTTGTATTCAACAACTCGTAATGAACAATTCACATTGACCAGCAGCTGCGTGGGATCGAGGCTAAGCGCAAAATGTTTCAATCGGACGCATAACAATGCGCTATAAACACAACGGTGAGGACAAGCTTATTGTCATAGTGGTGAAGAAAATGCATATGCTATTGATAGGGCCGCCACGTGTTATGCATGCTTATTGTTAGATTGTTCTTGCGCTGCCATATGCGCGCGTAAATTTACGTTGAATGAATGAATGTCATATGATGCAAGCCATTTTAATTCCATGCGGGCTAGTTCTTCATCACCAAAATAAAGGTATAAATTCCCAGCCGGTAAAATCGGTGGGACCTAAATGCATGAAATTGCGCATTATTAAATGCATCAATATCTACTGCGCACAGCAATGTACCTGAAACGTATAACCCTTTCAACTTGAAAGACTAAGTTTATCACGAATCGTTCAGTCTCCTAAAATGGTAGAAAAACGTAGGCACATGCCTATTTTAAAATACATTGGCCACACGACCCCAGATGAAGCTGAAACGTTCTCCTAATATTGCCTCGAAAAGCGTAGGGCTATCAAAAACAATACCGCCGTTCTAATCAATGGTGTCACGTATATATCTGAGTTTAACTAAGCGTGACTGCATTCTATGCCGTAGGTTATATCTTTCGACGAAATAACTTAGTGAAGAAGTCATTTATAGACATCACGTCTCTACGAGCCCACTCACTGCAGCGTGCAGAATGCCCGCAGAAACAGCGTCTATTGCCGCGCAGAGGCACCAATCGTCGTGGCGGGGGTCCAACTTCGATAGAGCGCTGAAGTTATGCTGACCACATCCGTGATGCGGCAGAACGCATGGTGGTAGGTTGGCCTACCAGAATCAAAGTTCGTATACGGCTCGCCAACGAGGACCATTTGGCCGTTGGCTTGGTAGTGTCAGCCTGGTTGCAGGGCACGCGGCAGTCGCATGGTCGCATGACACGGTAAAGATCCTTTCGTGCTACTTGCGTAAAGGACCGAGGCAAAATCGGTATGTTGGAAATGCAGTGCCCAATGTATGCCACAATGCCCGTATACATAAAAGTAAACTTGACGTTTTCGGCAGACGCCGATTGATGCAAGGACAGAAAAGGTGAAGGCTGGCGACCGAACGAGCCACAAGAGTGACCGTCCTAAAAGTCGCGTACTATCGTCCTGATTCGTTTCGGAAGTTGACATAGTTAAGAAGTGTCTTAATTCTTGGTGCCTGGGGTAATGAGCTGGGGTTCTCGTGCTGCAAATAATCGGCCGTCAGTATACCCGAAGGTAGTCGTCAACTTCATCCAAAACATTCACTGTATTGGGAAACCCACCCGACCTTTCAAAACTTTACTCAAAGTCTTCTCCTTTGCAAAAGACGATCGCCAGTACCCCAATATTTATTTCACGCTGAAACGCACCCCATAAAATGTGCCCTTCCATTCATCGACACCTTTGTGCGGTACAACCAGGTAAACGATACACCACTTTGCTCATTATCATTGAAGGGGCTCGGACGACTACGGGGAGAGGGCGCTAAGATCAGCATTAGAAGGCGTCCCCCCCCCCCCCCCACCGAGAGCATATAGCGTAACGCCCCTGGAGGTGCTGCTGAGCCGTCGATGCTCCCTACGTCACACTCTCAGTCGCACCCGGCGCAGCCCGTGGTGGTCCTCTCTGCGTGTCGATTCTACGCTTGACTTAATTCGTTCGAGCAGCTTCAGTGACCAGCCAGGGGAAGGGCTTGCTGCGTATGCGGTGGTCAGCAACACCATGCTGCTGCAGGGGCGGCGTGTCAGCGCCGCCGAGTGGCTAGAACGCGCCTTCTCCCGCTGGCTCGGCAAGTCCGTCAGCTCCCGCCGTGTCAGCGCCGCCGGGCGCCTCGCGCGCGCCTTCTCCCGCTGGCTTGGCTCGTCCGTCAGCTCCCGCCGTGTCAGCGCCGTCGGGCGGCTCGCGCGCGCCTTCTCCCGCTGGCTTGGCTCGTCCGTTAGCTCGCCGTGTCGCGCCGCCGGGCGGCTCGCGCGCGCCTTCTCCCGCTGGTTGGCTCGTCGTCCAGTCCCGCCGTGTCAGCCGCCGGGCGGCTCGCGCGCGCCTTCTCCCGCTGGCTTGGCTCGTCCGTCAGCCCGCCGTGTCAGCGCCGTCGGGCGGCTCGCGCGCGCCTTCTCCCGCTGGCTTGGCTCGTCCGTTAGCTCCTGCCGTGACTGCGGCTCAAAATTCCATTCACGCAACTCAAGATGGGGTGTGTCCGAGCGGCCGCCTGCAGCCGCTGTAGTGCACCAACCGTCCAAGCTGTATCCACCAGACGAGCAAAGTGGCAAGTTGCGCACAGTGGTCACGTTGGGAGGTGCGGGTTTAGTCCCGTTCCGAGTGCTAAAAACGTCGCATGTCCAGTCCGGTGTATCTGTGAGGCCCCTTGTCGACTCTGGCTTGCGGTGGGATGCGTTCGGTGTGCGTGAGTATGACTGTCTAACTAGAATCAACAATCGTGGGCCATTGCCACCGCTATGTCTTCGCATCGGGTGTACTATGACTGTGATACAAAAGGATTGGGACGAGGCATTAGTGCCACAGGTGGAATAACTGATCGAGCTATCGTTCTCGTCTAGTGTGTTGGTCACATCACGACTCGGCCAGTTAACTCTCGTTGGTATTATGGAGTTCTACGGAGACCTGGACGATGCTTGGCCATCAGCCACGTATGCGTCACAACCCCCATTCTGTCCTTGGAATTGCTGGGTTTCGAACAAGGGTAAACTTGATTGTAAGTGTAATCGCTCGACCAGGTGAGCTACCGGAGGAAGAAAAGGAACTACTGAGCTACCAACTGAGCTACCCGGGAAAAAACCGGAGCTACTGAGCCACCAACTGAGCTACCCGGGAAATACCCGGAGCTACTGAGCTACTCAGGGGAGACCGTAAGGCACTGAGATACCTGCTGAGTCACCCGGAAAAGACCCGGAGCTACTGAGCTACCAAATGAGCTACCCGGGAAAGACCCAGAGCTACTAAGCTACTCAGGTTAGACCGGGAGCTACTGAGCTACCTGCTGAGTCACCCGGAAAAGACCCGGAGCTACTGAGCTACCAACTGAGCTACCCGGGAAAGACCCAGAGCTACTAAGCTACTCAGGTTAGACCGGGAGCTACTGAGCTACCTGCTGAGTCACTCGGAAAAGACCCGGAGCTACTGAGCTACCAACTGAGCTACCCTGTATGGACCCGGAGTTGCTGAGCTACCAACCGAGCCGCCTGGAGAGTTCGCTGGCCGAAATGTTGAGTAACTAACACACCAAAGGAGGACGACAGTCCGAACGCCTGCTCCCCCCGTGATGCCGTGGCACACCTGGGAAACTGTGGGGGAGATGCGTCTGTGTTGAGTCAGACGCGTGCCAGGCCAGGTAGTGCGACGCTCCGGCCGTGTTTAGTCAGGCGCGTGCCAGGTCAGGTAGTGCGACGCTCCGGCCGTGTTTTAGTCAGGCTCGTGCCAGGCCAGGTGGTGCGACGCCCCGGCCGTGTTTAGTCAGGCGCGTGCCAGGCCAGGTGGTGCGACGCCCCGGCCGTGTTTAGTCAGGCGCGTGCCAGGCCAGGTGGTGCGACTCTCCGGCCGTGTTTAGTCAGGCGCGTGCCAGGCCAGGTGGTGCGACGCTCCGGCCGTGCTGGCGGTGTTTCCTGTTCTCAGCGGCGTTCCTAATGCTCTCACACAGACAATGGGGCCCTATTCTCAGAATGAGAGCGAGATGTTGACTATTACTTTCGCCATGGTACGGCTACACCAGTTCGGGTGCGATCGTCCCCTAAAAGTCGAGTGACCACATGCCCCTCGTGGTAATCCAGCCCAAGGCCCTTAGTAACACATCTCTCCGGGTGTGGCGAATGCTGCTTTGGAGCGGTATAGCTTCACGTTCGCACGTAAGCCGGGCTTTCGTGTGTATGCCGCAGGCGCGTTGAGTTGAGCCGCCTGGCCGAGGGCCCAAGCGAAGTTTGCGGCGCGGCTGGGGAAGGGGGTCTGAGCGAGGGCGGTTTTATCTCTCCACAGAGACTGGCTGTGATTCGCGTAGACTCTGTCTCAAATCCTGTGCTGTCCCTGCTGATGAGTTGGATTCAGCAAACCTGACGTGACGAAGGTTGTGCCGTTCCTCAAGCGCTGCATGCCCCCTTTTCGTTTCGGTCGGAGCTGGCCTTTCAGGGCGGATTGATCTGAAAGCAGATGTAGGGGCTTCCTAGCCGGATCTGGGGGCCTCCTTTTCAATGGAGAACCTGTGAATCTGGACAACCATGTGTACACCGCATGCCATTTCGTACACCTTATAACAGAAAATGTTAGGTATGTGTAACTAAACGAAACCTGCAGTATAATACGACAGGGAGCACTTATCGAAGAAAAGGGCCTGATGTTGTTTATCTAGGGCCTTCCACCGCGTAGATGCTGTATCCTGCGTGCCTTTGGGTCGCCTTTTAAATTTGATGGTATGCTCTTTCCCGGGCGTTTGTGCCTTGGGCGCCTGGGCCTCTCGTAAACGTGATGGGCCTCCTGAAATATAAAGGAAAAGACATGTCTGCGCTCTTTGGCAAACTGCACTTGGCGACTGCCCCTCCTTTCTGTTGACGCTGCCTCTGCCAACCAGAAAAATCCTGGCAAAGCCGCAATCTGAATGTGTCCGACCTAGGAAGGCCTTGCTATTTGATCTGTGAGCATCTGTTACCTGGCCTGTAATACAGCGAGCATCACTTATCCAGACAGCATTTACCCTTTAAGTAAACCATGCCGCGCCCTCACAACGGCACATATTTCATCCACATAGTATGTCACGAAAAAATTTAACCCCCATGACAAAAATGAACGGCATAGTCGGCTTTCTTTATTTCATAATAAAAATAGCCGCCAGCAGACGGAACGGAACATTACCAACAAAACTTGGCCCCATCTCCTGAGGCGCGCACAAATCAACACTTGCCGCCGGCCTGAGAGGAGGGCCGGGCCGCGGCCGATGACCGCGCCATCGGGCGGAGCGCCCTGGCGCCGGGCCGGCCATCGGCACCGGCCGAACGCGAGCCCGGCCGGCCCGGTGGCGCGCAGGGGGCGCCACCGTCCTCAGCAGGCCGGCCGCGGGGGCGCCCGTGGCGCGGCCCGCCGCCGCCACCCGGCGCAGGCGCGCCGCATGCTTCTGGAGTTCGCGGAACAGGTTTACTTCTTCTTCTTTTGCTCCTTCAACTTCTTCTTCTCTTCCCGCTTGCGCTCCTTTTCGTTCAAGCTGTTTACTAATTTGTACATGAAGAAACCTGCCAAACGGTAACGGTGACGAAAGTGAGAAAGAAGCATTGCGTGCCTCAATCGCGAGGCCGGCTACTGTAACACCATTCATTTTCGATACTGTTGCTCCATGGTTTCTATAACGACGGATTCACACTTGATGACGTGCTAGAAGACATCCGACCATTGCACGAGCTTTGAACGAAAAGCACACACGAAAGGGGTGGGGGTGGGGGGGAGCCGAGCAGAAGCACATGCCAGTTAGCAAAACATGCCTTGCCAGCAATATACCGCTGCTCCATTGTTCAATGATTGTCGTGCCTTACATCATACAGAATAGTCAATATAGTATTGTGAACACATGAAAGGTGAGCACAACCTATAACGCAAGTGTGACAGCCCATTACGCCAGAGTGGCGACATGTGACGAAACAGTGATGTCTCGGGACGTGACGCATTCCGTCTCGGATCTGTCACCAACTACGTCCCACCACTGGTGCCGCTAGTACCACGGACGTAAGAGGTGACGAGGTCCACTGGATGACCTTGGCGTCACCTCTGGAATTCCACGTCACGAGGCTGGATCTCGAGCCAGCCGTCGAGCACGAAACCACCAACAATCTCCAAAACACGCACACACACAGGCTCACCGCTGACGCTGGTAACGAACCATTACCCGGCGCCGCTGATCAAAGGTCTTCGAGAGCTCTTGTTCTGGGTATTTCAAAGTTTCTCCGGCCATGATCGGCCTTTCCACAGCTAAGAGACGCTGGAGAGGTCAGTGATGGGGCGATACCATGTGGATCGTGGATGGTCACCGCTACCGAGCTCTGCCCACACAGGGAGCCGACCTCGCGCTGTGTGCTGGCGCTCGGGCGGTACGGACGCGGATGGCCACCGCTACCGAGCCCTGCCCACACAGGGAGCCGACCTCGCGCTGTGTGCTGGCGCTCGGGCGGTACGGACGCGGATGGTCACCGCTACCGAGCCCTGCCCACACAGGGAGCCGACCCTCGCGCTGTGTGCTGGCGCTCGGGCGGTACGGACGCGGATGGTCACCGCTACCGAGCCCTGCCCACACAGGGAGCCGACCCTCGCGCTGTGTGCTGGCGCTCGGGCGGTACGGACGCGGATGGTCACCGCTACCGAGCCCTGCCCACACAGGGAAGCCGACCTCGCGCTGTGTGCTGGCGCTCGGGCGGTACGGACGCGGATGGTCACCGCTACCGAGCTCTGCCCACACAGGGAGCCGACCTCGCGCTGTGTGCTGGCGCTCAGGCGGTACGGACGCGGATGGTCACCGCTACCGAGCCCTGCCCACACAGGGAGCCGACCTCGCGCTGTGTGCTAGCGCTCAGGCGGTACGGACGCCAGGGAACTCGATCGACCAACTTGCTGACGACCGTAGCGCGCTTCTGGTGAAGCGGGGCGTTGCAGGAATTCAGGGCGGCGGGTGGAAGAGAAAAAATGGGCGGATGACGAAATAGTAGTCATGCCAAGACACAAAACCCAGCCACGGAACGGCGAGTGAGGATTCACTGGACACAACTTGCAGAGGAGAACCCAGCTACACAGAATCGAATGAAAACGTACTGGACTCAGTCGGTGGAGAAAAGAGGGGATACGTTGCTGAGCCCAGTTGCACAGGAGCGGATGGATACCTATACCTAGGCGGACGGAAGTCCAGCATCAGCCCAGCAACGACAGAGCGAAAGAAAATGCGGCGTTCTGCCCAGCTTTATGTGTCGGAGCCGGAGAAGCGCTAAGTTCGCTCTGAAAGCCGACAGCTGTCACTCCATTTAAACGATGACAAACGAGCAAAACCACGACCGACACAGGGACATTTGGCCACCATTTGTCCAGACGATATGACGGCTCAAACTGTGCAGTTTGTGAATGTCAATGCCCTGCGACGGCGCCGGAGGGCAGCCTGGCCGACGCCTGCTGTTTACGCCGCTGCACTGCAGCCGCTCGCAGTGGAGGGCTTGTCCGCTCCTTGACCGGTACCCGGACGCGAGCGCCGCTACTCCGCGGTCACCCACCTGGCACCCGGGACCGTTCCTGCCGCGCTGTACTGCACACCGCCGTGACACACAAGACACTACTCGAGCGTGCTCCCTATGCTGTGTTAGACGGTGCACCGCCGGTGCACACCGGAGAACTGACGAGCCTCAGGCAGGCCAGCCATTGTAGGGAGATAACGGTACTTCACGGGGTAAGCGCAGCAGGCTATCGTCAGCAACCAGAGCAACGAATATCTGTTGAACCGCAGGCACGAAAACGTTACTGAACGGACTCCATTGTATGGATGCCGAGCACTCACTCAAATTAAATTCGCATTTGAAGCAAAAACACTGCGGCGACAGGCCTGCGGATACTGCGCATACTGAGCGCGCACGCCTCGTTCGGCACGCGAGCTGGAAACGCGCTCCACGTCGCTGACCTAGCACCCCCTGGTGACAGGCAACCGCCAATGGGAACAGAGCAGGTGCCTGGCTCAGACTCTCTGAGATCCCTATCTGTGCCGCAGCTGTCTCGCTCCGACTCGATAACAAAACACCACTTGTCATGACACAACGCCAAGTCCCGGCGCCTGCCACCTTGACGCCTTCTTTCGTGTGGATTCAGACGCTGTTCGCCGCTCACCCACCTGCGAATCATTAGTTTTTACAGCAAAAATGGCCTGCATCCTCGCCAAAGCGCCTGATGAAATTTGTCGTTTCCCTCTTCCCAAGCATGTTCGCAAGGCCAGCCCCAAGCTTGGCCGGCCGGCAGCCGGCAGCCGGCCCGACATACAAGGGGCGAACGCCGGCCGCCCGGACCGGTTTCCGTGATGTTCCCGTGCTGAAGAAACCAACTGCAGGCCGATACAGGTACTGCTGCACTGGCGCAACCCAACCGGCACAGGGCAGATAGTTACCAACCGAGACTCGAATCGACGTGAAGATCGCAAGCAGAAAAGGACGTTCAATGAACAACAGAGGCCGAAATTCGTTTGCAGCATGTTTGCTAGCTTCGAAGCGATCACAAAACGAGGGCCCAGCAACGACAGCTTTGCCGAGCCGTCTGTTGACAACCGATGGTGAGACAGCACGACAGAATAATGACGTCACGACCGAAAACGGGCGACTCCAACAGCCAGTCGATGCTGCGCCGACAGGAGGCCCGGACCGAGACGGAAACGGCCTGGAAAGCAACAACGGCCGCCGCACGACGCGGTGGCTGAGTGTACCGGCGGCCACGTCTGACCCGCGCTGACCCGGCGCCCGCCGTGGGCCGGCCGGCCGGCTCACTCACCAATCACAGCCATCGGGATGAGGAAGATACCGATCCCGATCAACGGCGAAATCAGCCACCAGAGGAAGCTCTGCCCACCGCCGTCAGTCACCATGTCGTCCGCCATCGTGCCGCCGCCGCCGCGCTGTGCCCGCTCGCCCGCCCGCCCGCCTCCGCCGCCGTCCGCAGCCCGCCGACGTGGTCCCGCCCAGTGCCTGCGTGGCACTCGCGAACGCCACCGGGCGGCCGGCAGGGGCGACGCCAGCGCCGCCGCCGCGGACGACCGGCAGGGGCGCGCGCAGCGGTCACGTGCGCCGGCCGCGGATCGCGTGCTTCACTGTGCACGATGTGTGGACGGGCCGCGCGGGGAGGGGGGAGGGGGCTGCAACTGCCGTTCGTTTAGCGATCAGCTCTGACCACACAGTTACGGAGCGTACGGCGCCTCAACCTGGAGGCAGTTAACGGACTCGGCCCACCACACAAGTTTTGTAACTACACTTTCTCAATACCGCGCAGAACATTCTGATGACATTCTGATGACCATCTGGTGACCATCTTTTCAACCCCGGTAAATCACAAGCAGCCAACAAATTGCCACTTTTGTGTTTGTCTACGGCCGTAAGGCAATTGACAGGCGTTGCCATAGCGCACGTACCATTACCGCGTACTGCTCTCCTTTAACATCCACGCTGAGGTGAAAACTTGCAGAATTATTACTCGTTACGTAATATCAATAAATACTTCCAGCGTAAATAAATAATCTGCCTGTTATCCAAATCCATGTTTTTTTCCTGAATGCTTATCATTTTAAAATTGCATATTATATCTAATAATCAAAGCACGTATTACATAAACATCTAGAATCATCCCTATCCTGAGCGGATGAAACGTCCTCTCCAACTTCACGTCTTCAGACAGGGGAGGGGGGGGGGCGGTAATGTCGCCTCTATCCCGTCGAATTATCACTGACGCTAACTTTTTGAAGTACTTAACCAACCGTCAGTGGTTGTTTGCGTGGTAATAAGCTGTAGGAAATTGAACAGCTGATTTTGTAGTGTACACTATAGGATGCATCTTCCAAGGTCACTGACCTGTGGCGGTCAGAGCTCAGGCCATGGTTTCTGACAAAGGTAATTCTCAGGGCACGTTCCGACCTGATGCGACAAAGGGGTGTTACTCAGCAGTTTTCCATTGCATGGCTCCCGTGTAATACGTGCGGACGAAAATACTAGTGCCTTTCCGACGAGGTTATTGTTATTAAAATTAACAAAATAATAACAGAGAGCGTGTCGTGCTACATACACGTTCGGCAAAGACTCCACGTGAAGTCACGTAGGAATTAATGTTGCGCGCCACGAATACACCCAACGTTATGAAAGTGTCGAGCGATAAAACTTGTGTACGAAGTTGGTTTGAGGCAACATAAAAACTCATACCTCTGTGTTTATTGGTGTTGCGGCATAAACGGAGGGGGCACACTGTATCGAGGAACAAAGGTGATATATTTTTTTTGGTATGGCAATTAAGTGACCCAAGCTTATCAAGTTATTGTACTTGTTCCTTTAAGAGCGTAACCAAGCCAGCAGTGCCCTAGCAAATCAAGTTCGTATTCACGGGGAGGCCCATGCCAGCGCGGACGGGTGGCAACAGCCGGTATTCTTCCTTGTTATCTCAGTGTCTGAATCAGGATGGCAACAGTTGACAAAAGATAACTGCAGCTAGCGGCAGCAAAATAGAAACTTAGACATCCACCCATGATGTCAACAAGAAGCCGAACATTTCACGACCATCCACACCTTTTTCGAATATTCCTTTATGTTAGCAGAATGAGTAGGCGACACACAGTGCTGAGCAATAGGCTTCGAATGAGTCTGGACCCGGGAGGGGGAGGGGGGGGGGGGGTAATTTTCTAAGCAGAGACAAGGCCTCTGCTACCCCTGCCTGGCAACGTGGGTCCCTGGATGACACAGGGTTTCCCATTGTCTGAGGGGCTTCGACGGAACCAAGAGCCCTTCTGACTGACCCCCGCAGGGCTCGGCCTTGACCCTGCTTGAGAACCGCCCCCCGGTGGACACGGGGGACCATTGTTCGGCGCTAGTGGTTTCTGACCAACATAAAGATACTCGGCACAAGACACCTCTGATCAGCATTCGAGAGCCCCGACTCACAGGGCCGGGGTCACCGCACATCAGTCCCGACGGACTCAAAGGGCCCTCGGGAGATCTTCAGGTGGTGGAGGCGGGAGGGGTGGGAACACATGTCCACTCCTCCCTCCGTGTACTTCCACTGCCAACGTCAATGCCTAGCATGTGAGCAGCAATACGTGCGTCACTGGTGCTTCATGCCGGAGCCAGGTGCTGTGACTACATGGCGCCACGTGTGGCCTCTCACTCCAGCAGGAAGGGCGGGCACCGCGGAATCGCACCGCACGCCTATGATCTCCCCCGACGCGCAGATCAACCAGCTCGTGAGAGAAACACAAACTGCAGTACAACGATTGGACGGAAGGCGATATAATTGTTGTTTTCTTCGTTTAAGACGTCTTGCTGCCAACAATCACGGAGTGTGAGAACAGTTGAAAAGCTGAAAAAAACTTAATTTGTTAGAAGCCGTTCTACATTCTGGCTTCCATTCAAATACATGGTAAGAAGTGAAAAGCAGAGCACTACACGGACATAGACGAAAATTAAAAGACCGTCTGCACATATACATGCATCTGTCATACGGTTGTCATCTGAAATCAATGTCTAGCTAGGAAACAAATTCACGCTGGGTACTTGAGGCTATGCTGGCCGGAGGCAAGCGGTTCTGGGAAGAGTCGGCATCCGACTGCTGTCAGTAGCAGAGTGACTCAGCGCTGACCTCCCTTTGTACGCAGGCCTACCCGAGACCAGCGGGGAGCGAGCGAGGGCTCGGGTCATGCCATTACAGGTGCTAGTTTTTCCTCACATTCTAAGGAGGCGGTCTTCCTGAACTGTACTGAAAACATGGCTCCTCTTCTTGTGTCTCGCCTCCACACATATCTCCATCGGGCTACTTGAGGGGGTAGATTACCAAACGTGATTCACGCCAAAACAGAGTCGAGAAGCACAGGCCTCGTTGTACGCAACGGGTGTTTGCCAGCATGTGTGTGGTACACAGCAATATCGCTGACCAAAAACGAGCTTTGATAATTTTTTAAAGATTCTGCTATGAATGAAACATTATGTGGACCAGTTTACAAAGGTGCAAGGTTTTACATCATCACGATAACCGAAACCACAGAGAGCACGTGGCGGTGTTTTCAATGAATAGTTTCTCGATAAACCAATAAATACCGTGCCACAAAAATGGACGTGGGGCCTTCTTACAAATGTGCGTTATGAACTCCTGTATCATGACCGCAGAGTCCCCTGGAATGCATCTTAAGTCCAGCAAAAAGCATTTGGCAGCCAGCTTGTGTGCTTTTGTATTTTATCGGTCGAGGACGTAATCTAAAACAGCACAGCCATGCGGCGTTATGTATCGTCGGATGCAAATTTCATATCTTATTGGTGTCAGCACTTCCTGATGCAAACTACAGCTCAAATAAGACGAGCTGTCGAACGTTACTGATAGGCGACGGTCGAGCTGGTGACCATTGTAGTCGCTGGCACTCTGCAGAGCACCAGCGAGCGTGCACCCGGCCCCCTAGAGGCACGAGCAGGCTGCTTAACCTTCCTGTGTGGCAGGTGGTGTGATGTCAGGCAATTCTGGTCATTTGTTTCTGCCAGCCAAGCTCCCCTGGAGTTGGTGGCAATATACAGGCTGCTGGGCCCTAGGAAGGTCGCCATGCTGCTGAGGCACCTGCCCGAGTCAGTTCATTGGCAGATGTTACATTTACTGCCTATCATCCATTGTGCAGCCATGTCAACAGCAGACAACTTCTTGATCAATCCCTAATCTCTGCACATTGTTGCTTTGGTCCACGATATTTGACTCAGCATCTTGCATTAAATTATGATGTAACACTAGTGCACTGCAGTGGTGTCAGCCTACCACAGGCCAGGACTTGAGAAAATGAACTTCAAGATTTCCATGTATTGGCAGAAACATTCTAGCACAGCCCATCCATAAATGCATGCACTGTCAACAGATCAGCCACATAACAAGCATCTGAGGATAAATACTGCAGAAGCATATGGTCACAGGACATCAAAATACAAATTGCAAGCAGCATAAATGAAGAACAGATTGTTGTGGCAGCAGCAAAGTGAGGCAAAAGCAATGCCACATAAAAGATGAATTATGAACAAGTACAACAATGTGGTGTTTCTAGGTAATATTTGGCAACACATCATATAAAACTAGATAGGCATGCAGGTCATACATTTAACCTGGCAATAACAATGGCATAACAGTTGCTAGGCTGCCATATACATTTTACACATCATTGGATTTAGTTTTAATATCACTCAGTTGACTTTATACAAACACAGCTTGTTCCCAAGATAGTGACAAGCATCTGCTGGCTAGCAATTTTTAACTGTCATCATTGCTGTTACACCAGTTGCAGGCAATAGCAATTGAGTAAACTACCTATCATAGCATGTGTAATAAACAGATTGCTGGACAGTATGTTCCAAAGAAGTATGTCACATCAAAACAGAATGACATCCATCTCATGTCAAAAGTGCACTGGCAGAGAGAAGAAAACAACATTGCTGTTAACAAAGCAGTGAACTAGCATACATGTGGGACCAATGACTTACCCATAAGACTAACCACTACAATACCAGGTAGAATGAAGACAGTATTATTAATCCCAAGCTCCATAGGACCATCTGGTCCTGCACCAGCCAGTTCCACCATTTTTCCTGCAATATCCAAGAACCATTACAACAGAACATGGTGAATACTCCTATCACCTGCTATCATTTTACCAAATGCCCACATTTTTAGCCCAAACAATGGGACCATGTGTATGCATGGTACACACTGACAGCACTCAGTAGTCATGTCATATGTTTTCTTAAGAACCATTGATAAGCAAATGACAAAGCACACTGACCACACATGTAAAAGATAGGAGCCCGATTCCATGGATTTTTTGTATTCATTATCCACTTTTTACATGCTCAACACATGCGTTTTCCTAATGCAACATCTCTGCCGATAACAGGAGTAATCCCGTCAAATTTACC